CAAATAATAACAATAATTAATTCTCAAGGCATTTAAGATCGCAATTAACAAATAATTCTTTAATAAATTGTAAGCATGGTTTACTATAGTCAAATGCTCTATAAAAATAAATTGTTTTGTTTTCCTGGTGTACATCTTTCCTAATCCTCGCTGAACACTTTAGCGTAAGTTTATTGCGACAGATAGAGAGAGTTGTGATGCATTTCTATCCTGCTTTTGCTGATCTCATAACCGATTTGATGTTCTTATACTCATTTTCCATTGATTCTTCGCCAAGAATATTTTTTTCCTTCTAAATTTAACTATAATATTTAAGTAATAAGGATGGTTTGGTGTCTATATTTTTTTTAAAAAAATAGAGTGATTTAATTAAGTTTTCTCCGATTAAATTTTATTTACAAATATAAATTATTTATGATCATGGTATTTCAAAACCTTAGTTTATTAAGTAAAATGATTTTTGTAAATATTTCAGACTCGATCTCGAACATCTATTAGTAGAATTGATTAGCCTTCCCAAATCCTACATATAAGCAAACTAAACGCTTGATTCAGACCAAATTTAATTGGTGTTTAAAATCTCCAGATAAGTTGAGTCTAAAAATACTCTAAAGATTTTTAAAAATTTATCGTAAATAATATTTAAGATTTTCTTTGAATGCTCACGGACATATACTAAAACAAAATGCTAACATATAGGGCCTACTATCGTGTTTTCTTACTTATTAATTATAAAATAGCAATGGCACAGACATGTTTACTTAATAAATGCTTCCTTGAAAGTTTATATTATTAATGAAACCCTCTATTTTTATAACTAAAGCAATTACAACAGACATTTTCAATGGTTAACTCATTCTAACTGCAATTCATTTAATCGATATTTGCTGTATAAATTAATGATTAACATAAATTTATAATCAAATTATCTTCATGCGTTCTCATATATTTGCATACTTTTTTTTAATAAAATAAGAATGATGATAAAACGGTTACCAACTCTACTCGATTATTAGACATATAAATTCTTGTATTTACTGTATTAACATTATGTATATATTTCTAGAAGTTAAATTCACTGACCTAAATGATTAAATTTTTTCTTTACTAAATCATATTAAATTAAGATTTAATAGCTTAATTTTTTTAAATGTAAAAAGTTATTTAATTTACAATCTATTTAACTGTCTTTATATGCGAATAAATAATATTTACAATGAATAAATAGCATTGTACTGTACAAATATAATATAGGGCTACTTCATTTCTGTTTTCTAATAAAACAGAAAAATCGTTTAAATTTACATTTGAAACGATATTTTTTTTTATTCGTTATAAATATAAAAAGATTCTTAATACAGTATTATAGATAACTTTTTCTCTCTAATAGAAGAAAGAGATAAAATAATTTTTATTCAATGCAATTTCGTCTTCTTCTATTGAAGCATTGGAGCGTGTTATGTTGTGGATTTTGAAAAACAACCAGGACAAATTAAAAATAACAATTTAGGTCAGAAAATGTATTTATAGAAGAAATTTTTCATGCGATTCTCAAACTTTTAAAATGATAATTACGTTAAAAATCAATTGAGATAAACTATAGGCTATATTAAATAAAAAATTAAATCATTAAACATATTCTATGATCTTTATTTTGATATTCGATTGGATAATAGTGGATAATAGTGCAAATACTTAATGCTTTAATATTTATTTTTATAAATAAGAATATAACTTTATTAAATTTTCGCATCTTTTTGTTATAAAAAATTAAGTCAATAAGACCATCATAAATTACTTTAAAAATATAGAATTTAAGCTAAGATATACATTTTATTATTCTAGGAATAAATTCTATTGTTTAAGACTAGGGCCGTCGTGAGGGGGTCTTGGGATGTTTTTCATGGCCGGAGAAAATTTAGGCCTGTAGTGGTTCCTACCCCTATAAAAATTAATGTCATTTTTATTAAACAGAAAATAATATATTTAAGATTAATAAAGAAACGTTCTACATACTTTATTTTTTCAAAAAATTGACAAAAAAAATGATTCGCTCTACCTCCTGGTTCCATATAAGCTATCGACAGTCCTGTTTAAGACATGCCTAAACATTTTATTTTCTATTGTTAGACAGGTTTATTCATCTTTAATGGTTTTGATGTGCATTATTAAAATATAGACTTACTCGGTTATTAAAATATATGCGGTTTATGATACTTGCATTCTAAGTAGAATAATAATAATAATAACAAGAACAACTTATTTAAGGTTCTCACATTGAGTCGTTACCGAAATTAGAATTGAATTTAAATTTTCCAGGAAAATTAAAATAGATTTCTAAGTAGATTTATCTTTATTTAATTGAACAAACAGCAAAAATGTTTCCCGATCGTGTTTTAATTACTTTAAACTAATTTCGGTTGCCAACAATCTTATCAGAGTCAAAAGTAGATAAGGCATTTGACTCCGCAGATAAGAGAAAATTTAGAGTCGATTTAATTCATAATAACCATTCACTTAAACGTTCGGAGTCACAAAATGATTTATTTACTTAATCAATTTAATTTAATTTACACGCTTTTTCGTTAAAATAATTGTTAAATATTAATTTCGAACATATCAGTTACGACTTCATAAATCCTAATAATTAGTTTCTCTAAGTGAAATTGTAAAGATTCTTATGTTGTTAAAGAATAAAATGAGCTAATAATAAAGGTAATAATAAGTTAATTGAGCTTAATTAAATAGTATAATTTTGTTAAATGATATCTTTTAATAAATACATAACTTTGTATTTATTTGGCAACTACTCATTGGTAACTGGTAATTGTAAAGTTACATTGATTCACGATAAGAATATCTTTATTTATTAAAGTAATCCGGCTATCTATAAACTTTATTCGAATCTATAACTTACTTTATATATAATTCAATCAGTCTGTAGAGAAACTACCTCAATTTTTGATTAATTTAATATATAAAATCAAAAAAAAATTGTAGAATTATTTTCTTATTCTAGATCAGTGGCAAACGTTATCAAGAGATCTTCGTTTTGACAAGCATCTGACTGGTAAGATAAGATTTTTATCAGTTGGAAAGAAAATATATAAATTAATGGTGTTTTTATAATACATTATTTTACTTTATTTTATATGGCTAACTTGTATCTGATTTATTAAATCAGGAGAAAAATAATTTCGTTCTACTTATCTATTTTGTTAGATGCGGTATGTTACGAAGGTACTGCAGGTACTACGAAGGTCTGTTACATATATATATATATATATATATATATATATATATATATATACATAAATATTATTTGTTTGATGTGTCAAAACTTTGTTTGATATCTCTAAATTTCTTCAAAATTTTATTTTAAAAAAGAAATTTATGTTGTTTCTGGAGTTTTGTTTGAGAATTTGGAAGAATAAAGCGTTAAGAAACAAAGAAGATTAAATTTTGTTTATGCAAATTGAAAATATCTTTCCTTTTTTTCAATTTTTAGAAGTACTTCTACAAATTTGAACATTTAAAAAATTCTGGACAAAATATAAGCCATGCTTTAGACTATTAATAGCAGTTTTATAAGTATGCAAATATAGTAATAAAAATGAAATATAGTAATTTTATCTTATCATCGAGACCAATTAGTTTTATAGATTGACCATTCCCGTTTAATAAAAATCAGGGAGGGCTATTAGAAGCATTAACTAATTACTTATCTGGATCATATGACCCGAGGGAATTTTATCAAATTATCTAATTAAACAGGATTAACGAATTAATAAGAGGCGAAAAATGGAATTAAAACGCTAAAGTTGAATTATCTAAAGTGATGAATTAACCTATATTTCAATTTTTCACGTAGAAGAAAGTTTAAAAATGCACGATACTTTGAATTATTTAAAATAAAATAATAATTTCAGTCGATTTATAATGATAAATTGTAAATTTGCATTTATAAAAATTATGAATTTTAAATGAAAGTATCGTTCGATCCCGAGGCATTAAAGTTTTGATGAGCTCGGAGAATTGTGTTGCAAATCTTTACAAATTTTGTATCCATTGAGATTTAATATAGAAAATTATTCTCTAAAGATGTCATCACGTCATTAATGAGAATATTTTATTAAAATATATCTGAGAATTATAATGGAAGCATTATTTATGTAGCTCTAATCGAGTTTAAACATCAATGATTAACATCTACAGCATTAATCTTCAATCTTCATTTAATGAAAATAAAGTGGACTAAAGCTTAATTATGTATAAAAAAAATAGAAAGGAAAACATATTTTATAAATCTGTGTTATCTTGTATAGATCTACAAACACGAAGATAACATCTGAATCAATCATACATCTCTCAGGTATATGAAACGGATGCAATATTAGAAACAAGCCCTATCTCCTTATTGTAAGATACGTGATTACAGGACTAGCTACGAGTAGATATCCACTATTGATGCTTACTAAGTAACAGCAGCTGAATCATTATGCCGGTAACATTAGCAGATAAGATCAAATTAAAATTATAAATATTAACATATTCGAGACCGTTCGATATATTCGGTAAGAGAATTATCATTATAAATGCCACATTAACAGTCAGATTCGGATCATCGTAAGTAATCCAATTAAAGATATTAGAAAATATTTTATCAAATATACAAAGCGAACTAAATAAAGTATTAATTATCTTGATTATAAAGCAATTAATACTGTTTAATTAGAATTTAATTAAGTATTCTTACTACACATAATATATTTTTCAAATTTAATTCGGTTTAAAGACTGCTCCATTGGAAATTAAGATTAGTATAGTGATTTAATGAAGTTTTCTCTGAAATGTCTCAAAGAAATCCTTTATATATTAGTGAATAAATATTAATTTGATAAATTAGAGAGTTGGAAAATATTGTTGACAATTTTTACACTCGAGTAAACACGAAAAAATATTAATAATGATGAATGAAATTAAGAGCTATCTCAATCAATCCGCTCAGAGGAGCTAAAATTCATGAAGGTGACATTGATTGAAAAGTATGGCAAGTGAATTTAGCAATAATATTCATAAACCGTGTAGAAAATTAATGAAATATTAATTGATAGAATTTCCGTTGTAGAGCAATAAAATTTTCGATGCGCTGTTTCATGTTTCAATTGTATAATTTGAAGAAGGCTATCCAAACCAGTTTTTGGCTATTGCTAACTAGTCTATTAAAGTGGAGTCATTCTGCAGATATGTCATTCAGCAGATGGGCGGCTCTATAATTGCAGTCGAGATGTGAAGAATGATAAAGCTACAATTAGTATAATTAAACTTGGACGTCAACAGGTGATGCGGGTGCCGCTAGGGAAGCAAGAAGATATTTTCTTAGCAGCGATAGGATCTTTCATTTCTCAATCGTTACTCACTTAGATTGTACTTTTAACGGATCTCCATCAAACTAAAACCCCGGTAAGTCACTCGACTGACTTTATATCTAGAGTTATAAAATGATAGTGATGCTTAACTATCAATTTTCTTAGTTAAGAGGCAATATTATGTAATAAATTCTCTCGGTTAAGCCAAGGTAAGTGCTTATAAAACTTCGAAAATAAAATATCATATATGGCATAACTTACTTGTTTTATTGCAAAGTATTTCTACTAATAATAATATTAATTTTAATTAAATTTGATGCTTAATATTAAAGATATCATATCTCTAAATTTCTTCAAAATTTTATTTTAAAAAAGAAATTTATGTTGTTTCTGGAGTTTTGTTTGAGAATTTGGAAGAATAAAGCGTTAAGAAACAAAGAAGATTAAATTTTGTTTATGCAAATTGAAAATATCTTTCCTTTTTTTCAATTTTTAGAAGTACTTCTACAAATTTGAACATTTAAAAAATTCTGGACAAAATATAAGCCATGCTTTAGACTATTAATAGCAGTTTTATAAGTATGCAAATATAGTAATAAAAATGAAATATAGTAATTTTATCTTATCATCGAGACCAATTAGTTTTATAGATTGACCATTCCCGTTTAATAAAAATCAGGGAGGGCTATTAGAAGCATTAACTAATTACTTATCTGGATCATATGACCCGAGGGAATTTTATCAAATTATCTAATTAAACAGGATTAACGAATTAATAAGAGACGAAAAATGGAATTAAAACGCTAAAGTTGAATTATCTAAAGTGATGAATTAACCTATATTTCAATTTTTCACGTAGAAGAAAGTTTAAAAATGCACGATACTTTGAATTATTTAAAATAAAATAATAATTTCAGTCGATTTATAATGATAAATTGTAAATTTGCATTTATAAAAATTATGAATTTTAAATGAAAGTATCGTTCGATCCCGAGGCATTAAAGTTTTGATGAGCTCGGAGAATTGTGTTGCAAATCTTTACAAATTTTGTATCCATTGAGATTTAATATAGAAAATTATTCTCTAAAGATATTTTCTTCACGTCATCACGTCATTAATGAGAATATTTTATTAAAATATATCTGAGAATTATAATGGAAGCATTATTTATGTAGCTCTAATCGAGTTTAAACATCAATGATTAACATCTACAGCATTAATCTTCAATCTTCATTTAATGAAAATAAAGTGGACTAAAGCTTAATTATGTATAAAAAAAATAGAAAGGAAAACATATTTTATAAATCTGTGTTATCTTGTATAGATCTACAAACACGAAGATAACATCTGAATCAATCATACATCTCTCAGGTATATGAAACGGATGCAATATTAGAAACAAGCCCTATCTCCTTATTGTAAGATACGTGATTACAGGACTAGCTACGAGTAGATATCCACTATTGATGCTTACTAAGTAACAGCAGCTGAATCATTATGCCGGTAACATTAGCAGATAAGATCAAATNATAAAAATATGTATTTTAACTTATACAGAAAAAAATATGGTAAAGAAAATAATAAATAATTGAAAGTCTAGCTCATAGCTGCTGCTGTTATATAAACAGATGCATATTTCAGTATAAAAGTAGATTATGTTCTCAATATAGAAAGTATCGTAAAAGTTTCTAAAGTTTATGAAAAATAGAAGAATATAAATTATCACAAACTTCGGGGAAAGAATTCAGAATATGAAATACGCGATAGAAAGTACAAATAATGAATAACATTACAAAATATGGAAGGACAAACAGTGTAAAAAATTCTGTTGTATAAAAAGTTATTTTTGTTACGAGCAAAGAAATTCTCAAAATGATCCAACCGACACCATTGAAATGTATAAATACATAACTGATAAAATCTATGTATAACTACAGTGATGAACACTAACATAATCGTTTATATTTATACAATAAATTCAAATATATTTATTCATTTTACATTGAAAATTGAGTTATATTTTTTAAAATATTAGCATGAAAACAGAAAAATAATAATAATAATTTTATAAATCATAATTTGTTTCAAGCTTAAATTAATAAAGAAATAATTAAATTTAGATTTATATTTTTTTTAAAAAAATAGAGTGATTTAATTAAGTTTTCTCCGATTAAATTTTATTTACAAATATAAATTATTTATGATCATGGTATTTCAAAACCTTAGTTTATTAAGTAAAATGATTTTTGTAAATATTTCAGACTCGATCTCGAACATCTATTAGTAGAATTGATTAGCCTTCCCAAATCCTACATATAAGCAAACTAAGCGCTTGATTCAGACCAAATTTAATTGGTGTTTAAAATCTCCAGATAAGTTGAGTCTAAAAATACTTTAAAGATTTTTAAAAATTTATCGTAAATAATATTTAAGATTTTCTTTGAATGCTCACGGACATATACTAAAACNTGTTTATTTTTAAAAATTCCTTGATCTATTTTAATTTCTTTTCGCCAGATTCATCCAGAAAATTACCAAAATTGGTTCAAGGAAATTGTCTGGGAGCAAAGTAAATTCCGTTAGTTGCAACGTACTTAAAAGCTAGAGTACTAAATCTTAAAAGTGCTTAAATCTGTATAATATTTGAGCCATCCAAATACTTAATTTCGCGGAGATTGGCTCATGTTCATGAGAATTATCAAGCATGAATACAATTTAATTGATGGCCACATTAAAAGCATTAACACGCTTTAATTTTAATTTCTGCCGTGTTATTAGCATGAAAGTAACGTTAAAATAAAATAAAGAGCATTAAATTTTATTAGAAACATGATTATTTTTCAGTTGGATATTATCTAATTAACAAATTACAACTGTATTTTGTTTTCTTTTTTCCTCCCTCTTTCTTAATGACTAAAAGAAAACCGAAATAAACTTATTTTCACGGTTAATCGAAAAAAACGGCAAAGAATTATCCTTTATAGGATTAAAACTGTAATTAACGATCTGTTAAGTAACTTATAAGTGTGATATTCGTTAACTTTCACCAAAAAAAAAAAAACACCTTAATTTCAGTTATAGGATTAACAAAAAGGTAAATGTAATAAAATTAATCATAACTAGCAAATAATTAAATACATAATATCATTAATTCCCTCTCAAAAACACCTTTTTATATCATATAATAGCATTAATAATGACATTAACGGGGTTTTACGTAAGTATTTTTAGAAAGAATTTTAAGTTAGCTCGAATGGAATTTATTATTTATTTTGTTTTTCTATTTTCCCCCTTCTCTCTAAAAGGATAAGTCAATAAATAACAAGATTTTTCAGCCAGTGGCCCCAATTTTCTAATTGAAAACTTGTGAACGTAGTAACGATAACGATGAGGTTTTCCTAATTGAAATCTTGTGAAGAAACGGACAAGAGATTGACATTAAGTCTTGTAATTTGAGAAAAATGTGCTTAGTCTCGTCATTCATCGACTCATTCTTCGTTTAACTTTCCATAAAGAGTAAAACGATCTATTCATATCCATTTATTTAATTAAATTTATTTATATAGGAACGTTAAGTAACTTAGCAATTGGTCGAACGACTAAAGAAACGAATCGTAAGGAATACAAATTTGTACTAAACGTAAGATTTTATGCAATATTAAAATATTAAAAGAAGAAAAAAAAGGTTAACATTTGGGATTTCCGTAGTGCTTTGTTACTTTCATTGAATATGATTAAGCCAATGCGATCTAAACAATTTTCAAGAGAATAAGTTTTGTTAATCAAAATTCTAGGAAATAGTGGAAAAGTCCCGAAAAAACTCTCCCACCGAGTGCATAGAATTTTAACTAGTCAGTTCTCTGAAGAGAATAGTAAAGATTCTAATAGAACTTAACATGTCTTCCCACTGCTGCTATGTGAAATATTTGTTAAGTCACTAATGCATTTACTCCATTTCCTTGATTTTCCTGGATATAAAAATGCTTATTAAAGATCGCGGCAACAATAACAAAGCGAAATAAAAAAAAAGTGTAGTAAATTAAAATAATTTATTTCTAGTCGGGCAGAAGGTTTTTCAGATAAAACAAACTCTTACTTAATCAAAATTACAATTTTTTTATTTATTTTTTCAGTCCATATGGGAATCAATGGAGCAGACACATCTAGAGCTTCTCTTCAAAGAAAATGTATAGGTCTAGAACAGAGAACAGTGGCAGAATATCAAAGAAGAAAACCTCGTCGTTATCGTACTACGTTCACAAGTTTTCAATTAGAAGAACTGGAGAAGACCTTCACCCATACCCATTATCCAGATATTTTCACACGGTAACCATAAACTCTTCTAAAACTATTTTAAAATAAATTTACTTTAACGAACTGAAGAATGTTTTTAATGATAATCGATATTTTAATCTTGTTATCCATTATCCTAAGCCTTATTTATCTTAATAGGGAGTAGAAAATTTTTCTTTCAAACTCATCTATGCCAATTTAGATTATATTGGCATGTCACTTACCGTTATTAGACTTCTGGTTAGAGATAAGGTGAAAGTGACATGCCAATATAATCTAAATTGTTAAAAATGACTTGCAAGAGGGAATTTCTTTCTTTTTATCAACTTTAGTAGAAATGTCTTCTCTTTTTACGGTATTAATAGTTTATCTTTTTAAAATAAACTTTATTTATTTTTATATATATATATTTTTTCTTTTTCTCGATGCAGGGAACAGTTAGCTCTTAGAGTGGACTTGACTGAAGCTCGAGTACAAGTAAGGCATTTCACACTAACTAGAAAGTAAATATATATATATAATTAAAAGAGTAAATCAGTAATTTTATGTTTGGCTGTTTCGTTATGTTGATCATTTAAAAATACTTCACTTCCGAAGCGTTAATCTCTTTTCTAATTATACCGGGATTAGTTTGTTTAAAAAGATTTTCTGCATTCTAGAAATCTATTCAATTTCTATTTTTAAGTCAACTTGTTTGTCTTGAGCAGGAGTAGCTAAGCCAATGTGAAAGGTAATTAAAAAAATGCACAAGTGAATCAGTAATTAATATAGTAAAAATGATATTTATTTAAGCAATTCGTCAAGCTAAATTTTATTATAATTTCACAATCTATAAGGATCAAAATGACAAAAATAACAATAAGAAAAGGATTATAGTATACGAGTGATGCTTTACAATTCAGAAGCGTAATCTCTCTTTCGTATTTTCCATTTTGTTATCTTTTAACTGCATATATTTTTCTTCATATTGCTGTTATTATATACTGGCCTTATTAACTTTTAAAACTTACTTAAAACTAAACTTTAAAATTAAATTATTATTATTATTATTATTATTATTATTATTTATATTCGTTTCCATTCAACAACTCTGATACCCTATATTCTCTTTTCTAAAGGGATTATTATTTTAAAATTGAAATTGAAATTAATACCATTTAAGGAGAAAATAAAATGTAAAGCGATAAAATCACAATTTAGTTCGATTTAAAAAGAAAAGCAATATTCTAGATACATCGAAACGTTTAAAATTCAAAGCTGCGCCCCGATGCAGTGAAAGAGAGGGGGGAAGAAAGAGCAAGACAAACAATTTAAAGAGCGTTTCTGTCTGCAAACAGCAATTATAAGTCTAAATCGTCTAAACACCTTGAATGTTTACCCTCCAGTAAAGACGAACCCGATTTAAGTCTTGTCATATTAGCATAATGACCACGATGTTGGTTGAAGATCTTCAATTATGTTCACTCTTATATACAAATGTCTTACATTACAGAATGACACCCCGAGGACTTGGACCACACCTCTAAAGAAATGAAATTATTTCGATATCCAGTTGTTATCGTAATCGTCCTATGGACCAGCTTTTCTCCTGTTCCACTTCAGATAATAACCGTACTTCTTATATAGGGTATCATTAGTCATTCTGAAGGATAATCTACATTATTCACACATTGATACTCGTCATTTAAAAAATTTCCAAACCTATATAATTCTTTTTTAAAGATTTAGATAACTTTTTCCAGATTTAATTGATGCACTTTTCTTTTTCCTTAAAGAAAACTTCCAGTACTCGTTTCTGTTAGTGATAAATGTTCTACCGCGTAATTATTTATCCTAAGAGAGAGATTTATACATCAGTTAAAGATTATTTCAAGCTTATTTTTCTCTCGTTCGTTGCCATCGAGATATAAATACTAATTTTTGAATTTCTTTTTTTAAAAAAAAGCATGAAAACGCAATGATTTGCCATTTTAACAGAGTAATGTCGGAATACTTCCATTTTTCAAGATTAATTTTCGTAAGTCGTCAGACCGCTCCTTGATATTGTAAATTACAGATTTGTGAAGTATTCAAAAATGGCTTTTATGTATAAACCGAGTAATTTGGAAATTTTTAGATAAAATAAGCTTTTGCCATCGAAGAAATAAGCATCGAATGAGTTAAATATTCATCGCATGATATTTAAATGACCTAACATTAAGCATTCAGTCCAAAATTAAACATTAGCAATTGGTATTTAGTTTGCTCTCGGTAATGATTTATGTGAAAGTTTCTTTGCTGAACTGTAAAACCTATATTTATCTCTTTAAGAACTATAATTTCATTAAGTCATAAAATAAATTTTTTATGACGAGTACCGAGAATATTATGTTACTTACGTATACGTAGAAATCATTATGTAAAGCATAAAAATTATTGTAGAAGAGTAGGTTCTAAAGGATGCATGTTGTAGGATGATTTATAAAATCATCAAATGGGTTTTTTATTCATGAAAAGAACCATTCTAGAACGTAAACAGCCATTTATAGAAATCGGGAATATACATATATGTTAATATTCGCACGTAAATCTTTGTAAAATGTACTTCTATAGTAATCACGTTTTAAAATTATTTAACTAATATTATTCTAATCGTATGAACTATTGTATTTAAGTAACAAAACGCAAGAATGTATAGTGCTATCTATAACTTTTGTATAAATATTCTTTCATATTCAAAAACCATTGTTGGCTATTTACAGAAATATATTGTTTCAAGAGATATTATACTCTAAAATGCCTCTACTGCTGAAAGAACATTCCTGACTAATTATTCTATGTATATTCATATATGAAAATTTCTTTTTCATAAAAACTATCGTAAAGAATTGTTTTATAATGGTTAAATTTAATCTTTATTCTACTTTTAATTGCTGTTTTCACCACTTCCACAATTCTATAACATGATAAACCGATAGATTGTTTTCTCAATCGTTAATGTGATCCGAATTTATTCTCTTTCTATACACATTAATTTATGATCTTTCACCTAAGTAACAAATAAAAGAAAATTTTGTAATGTTTCCTTTAATAAATTACCATAAACAGAAGTTCGGACCTCCGGATACATCAATAAATCTCGTAAGATCCTTTCATCTCTACCGTCCCGTATCACTAAGCATACATCCTCATCCCATTTATCTAAATTTACCAGCTCGTGTCAATTCCGATCAAAGATCCTTTAGCCCAAACCAACGTAACAACTTTTATACCTCTTTTAAACATTACATAACATTTATTTTTTTATGTTGTTATTTAAAAATAATTCCCTCATTAAATTACCTTTTTTTATAACGCGTTTATATTCCGATCACTGCATCATTATGCAGCATAACAAAATATTGAATATTTAATAGATCCGATCGAACGTTTAGATAATATCGAGTGGAACGGCATCAAAACCGGAGATATCGATTCTTATATCTAATTTTATCAGGTGGCAAAGCAATCCAGCTGCGAAATCACATTTCTCTAATAAGAAGCGAGTTTCAAATTACAGGTTATGTTTGTCTAGTGACAATTAAGAGAATTATCTGACTTAAAAACAACCCTTAGCCAAATATACATCAAACTTCAATTGATATCTGAGAAATCTATACTTACTCCAACCCTCCCGAAAATGACACGAGTTGACCCCTGCAAAATACTAGGTTGGCAATGACATCTGACGTTCAACTGTCCATTATTTATTTTCGTGAACGTGATCCGAATGAATCCATGCCTCGTAATACAGGTACAAATGCCAGAGGCACCAGATGCATCAAGTGATGTGACGTAAGGGCGATGGATTTGACAGCAGCCAAAAGCATAATTATACCAAATCGTATAAAATTACAATGGAGTGAATTATATGATGATCGCACTTTTGAATATTAAAATGTTTCCTCTTTATATCAGATCGTGTTCTACTCTAATGCTAATTTAGGCTATTTTACAAGGAAAAAATACATTAAATATATTCATTGCCAAAGTTGGGTTTGTTGATTAGTTTATTCTTTCGTGTCTAATGGAGAGTTGAGACCAATGAAGATGCAAAACTTCCAACTTTCAAAATACTACTGCCCTCTGGTGTTGCTTAAATCAATCATATTTCTTCTTCAAACGTAATAGTTTTTTTTTTTTTTTAATTTATTATTGTAAATTCAGTCTTTGTTCGTACATATATTCTTACTCAATGACTCGCATGATTATTTACTTTTCAGGTATATTTTTTCATAAATATATTTGTATAATTATTGTATAAAGCGCTCCAGGTTATATTAAACCATATTTTACATTGATGATTTCATTCATGTAGTATAATGTCTTACGATAAATTCTTTCCAGAACTTGATGGAATTTTAAGCAGCGCATGATTGAACATTGCTAAAAATTAATATTCCTGCAGGAGTTTAACGCCATATACAATTTTTTTTTTAAATCGTTTGCTATTGTGTAACCTTGAAGGATCGTTTATAGTTTAAAACGATAAGAAATTTATACAAAAAAGGGTGGGAAATTATACAAATTATATGCAGAGGTATACAGAGAATCGTTTCACAACGTAATTGTTTTTCCATCATAGAAATTAAAAAATCATCGTCCTTATATACAGTACTAAACAAATAAAGTAACGTTTGCTTTAAGTTCAATCTTATGAAACTTAAATAGTTTGCGATTCATTGTTTCTGCAAAATTTAGTGCAATAATGTTTTTTATTTCTTCTGAAGGTATGGTTTCAAAACCGAAGAGCAAAATGGCGAAAACAAGAAAGGAATAGCCTACAGAAATCTACGCCCGCAAATTTTGTTAATCAAGAAAATTCTGTTAATTATATGCAGAATAATTACACAATGAAACATAATGTGCCTTCGTACACAGATTGTAATTTCCATACAAATTTATATCATTATCTTTTATCGTCGCCGTTTAATAGTTATTTCCCTTGGGGTCTACAAAATCTTTCCTTTACAGAAACACCGATATTTTCCACTTTTAATTTACCCAATTCTTTTCAAAATTTACTAAGTCTGTCACGATCCAAAATCAACAACGTAAACTGCGCTTCTAAAACTAACAACTGTAATAGTTTAGTAGATTTTAACGTCATGTCTAATCCCCATTTGTTTGGAGTTAAGATATAGAATATAATTTTGTATAATGCTTTTGAATATTCAATTTCTTATAAATACTGTTTAAATTTAGTAAAAGATGATAATTTTATAAAAGGTAATGCTTTAATTATATGTGAATTTTATACTCAAATTGTGTAATATTTGTTGTTCTTTTTAATCTATTAAATAAACTAAAACTTAATTTAGTTCTAGAAAAATTACATTGATACAAGTTCCAATCTAAATAAGATGTTTCTCTTATATTTTCGTATCTAAATGAATTATATATGAAATAAATTTTAGATGAATATTGATAACATAAAATGTAAATAAAGTATTATTTTATGATTAAAATTTATTAAATAAATAGCAATTGGAAAATTCTCTATTAAATTTTTATTAATGTATGTTATATTCTAGTTAAAACTTAATACGAAAAATTTTTAATTGGAATTCTTGTTTAAAATTTTAAATAATTTAATTTAAAATAATAAAATTCTAAAATATATTATTAATGGAAAAATGTTGAAAAAATACAAATTTTGTGTTAAAATGATATATACAATATCCAATATAAAAAATTCTTAATTTAAAATGTTTATAAAAATATCAAATTTATTTTCAATATTGTCATTCTCTCTCAATATTGGAATATTTTTTTTTATAATATTCTACACTTATAAATAAGTAAAATTTTTCTTACATATTAAATTCAAATATATTCTTATATGTAAAAAATATTTACAGAATAAAAAATACATTATTCAAAATATTGAAATATTCAGTTATTGTGAATATAAATGAATAAATAATTTTTGAAGATCAACAATGTCGTAGGCACTCTCTCTTAATAATTTTTCTGTCTCACATTTTAAACCTCTAAAAAATTTTTCACATTCAGAATTCATTCCTTCAGATATTTCTGAAATAAGAAAATAAATCATTAATTTATCAAGTTCATTACAAGCAAATTATACAATAATATATACATAACAATATTTTCATTAATTGTATTATATTAAATTAATGAGAAATAATAATTATAAAAAATAATACATTTTAATTTCTTTTCAAAACAATTTTATATAGTTCATAATATCTATTTAAAAAATTAAGTCCACCTTAAAAGATTAACTGTAATACTTATAAATAATTGAAATAAACAGAGAAATTTAATTATGATAATTATCTTGAAAATATTAAGACAATTTTGAATTTTTTCTGTACTCTAAAGCAGTGGAATTATTTATTTGAACTTTTTCCTTTAATTAAAAAAATAAGTAAATAAAAGTTATTTTATAAATAAAACTACAAAATACACTACTCTTCTTAATGTAATCATGAGTGTTGTTATCATTAATGTTGTGAAAATTAGCAGATTTCAAAATATGTAAGTTAAAAGGCACTATATGCTTTACACACTAAGGCACTATAGAACAAACAATAGTGAATGAATTATATATTAATTAACAACAACAACAATAATAATTATAATTAACAAATCTTCATTTTTAATGTTTTTTATGTTTAAATCTTCACGTTTCTACAAACATTTAAAATTACTTTTTAAAAATTTTTAATAGGTCTTTTAATATCAGAGACAATGAAATTAAAATTTCTACTAACTGTAATATTACTTATCCAACTTAATGTTTTCAGTATAGCCAAGTCTCAAAATGATTACAATTAGCAGAATAAAAATAATCAAAAAAATAATACTAATAAAAATAAAATTTCTACTGTATTTATCCAATTGCTTACATTTACAAAATTTGGGACACATTGCAAAATCTAATAGGTAGATACATTTTTTTAACTTTAGAATATAATTATTCTTTGAAAGAGAAATGATAGCAGTGGCAACACTAAGGGGTTGAAAATGAAAACAGCATCAAGTGACACCATCATAGGGAGTGACATCAAAATGATCTACAAAATTTTTGTGCATTGTTTCAGCAAAAATTTGTTTTTTATTGCTGTGATTAGTTATAACAACAAAAACATCTCTTATAAACCTAGTTCACATGTATCAATATACTTACAATCCTAAAAAACTATATTAATTTACTTTTTGAATTTTTTAATGCATTCTGGTCTCAGAGCTATCATTATCACTAAATTACAATAAAAAATACAAAAATATTTTACATTTTATAAATATAATACAATTACATAAACAAAATTAAATGAAAATACATGTAGTCTGTGTATATGATATTATAATTTAAAATGTGTACTATCAATTTTTCTAGTTTGTCTATCATTGCCATTACATTCATTAATGGGAATTACTGATTTGGAATTCATATGGAAATTATTATTTGTGAACAACATTAGTACCCCGCTTAACGTGGGGGATAGATTCCTAGACGACAAAGCGCTAAATGAAACATCCTTAAATGAGGTCATTTTAACATAGAGTAAATAGGGAAAGGGGAACACATCACCAAAAATTTTACTTTAATTTTAAGTTATTTTTATATTAATTTGCATAATAATATATGTTAAATAACATATAAACATACGCACACAGAAATGTAAAGTTCATTTTTTTTTTTTTTGATGAAAGTCCTGGTTCTTCTGAAATTCTTGGTTTTTGCAATAAAGTCACGTAGTTTCATTTGTTGCTTTTTTTCTTTCCTTAAGCAAATGTTGGTAGCAAGAGATCGCATTCAAAATGACTCGTCTTGCTTTTACACTCCTTTCAAAATCTGGATTGTTCACTACAATTTGATCAACAATTTTGGTTATCCTTACCAAACTTTTAATAAGGAAATCTGTAGAGAAATTCTTTGGGTTCTTCATTTTCAGAATCACTATTTTCCGATTCTACACAAATTCTTTGTTCTGCCAGTTCTTGAAGGTTGTTGGTAAGGCTCTCACCAGAAACCTGCAGTAACTTCTTGATATCCTGCTGTATTGATTAAGTTGACAAAAATTCTTGGATACCTTCAGCCATAGCTTCTTCCACACTCCATTCATGCATTTATCAGTTAATTCTTGCCAAGCAAAGTCGATATTTCCTATGGCATCTTTTATGTTATATTTTTTCCAAAATTGCACAAAACAAACATATATTTAAGGAAAATACAATGCTACGATGAATTGTCACCTCTTGCTGATTGGTTCATGTTCATAAATAATTGTATTATATACGAATCAATGAAATGACACAATAATTTGAATCAGCATAAATTTTGAGCTTTTTTATAAGGCTTTGAACAGACCGCATTATATTGAATCAGTGTTAATCAAGACAGCATTAAGCAGGGCCTTATTGTACATACAAAAAACATTACTAAGCATTCTATATGGTCAGATATGAAGAGAGATCTATGGGGTGAATGACATCTTGAGCTACCATACTGGGAGGTACCAACTCTAGTGATGATGATGAAAATGAGACAGTAAAATTTTATATGATTGCTATATATGATTTTATATAACTTTCAATATAACTTAGAATTAACAGAATATCAAATAACAAGGATATTCAGAGTAAATAAATGAAGCTAAATATACTGAACACTAAACATTCAAAAATCTGGTAAAAATTATTCTTTAATGATTTTGTAGTATTAATTAGTTCAAAATATGCATGATAGTAGTTCAAAATATTTGGAAAGATATTCTTATTTATTAATCTTTCATCATTTTTTGGGGTATTATATTAATCAATATTTTTATTACAATTTAAGATGATTGTCTAATGTTTTATAATGCTATTTACAATAATTATTGCTATAAACATTCAAATAAATCTGTATATTTGAATATAAAATTATGCAAATATGAAAAAAAGAAAATTTCATTGTTCAGTTGTACTGAAGATATGAATTCTTTAAATTTGGTTTGCACTTTTATAAATAATGCTAAGAAACTTATTTATATTAAAATATTTTTGAGACACTTTTTCCATAACTGAACTGAATCAAAATTGCTGTTGTATTTGAATCAGTTTAAACAGACAAAACAAGTTTTTCTAATTATTACGAATTTTAATAATACAATTAAGATATAGGAAAATTTTAAAATCATACGTTGTAAAATCCCAATAACAACAATTATTTATGGACAATAAAGAGATACCATTTTCATGATACATTTTAATTATGAATATATAAGATAATTTGAACTTGGATAGTTTGAAATCTTGTTAGTTCATAACAGTACTTTCATCCTGGCTAAGATATAGAGATTTACATGTTAAAGAATTTGGTAAGTGTGAAATACAGCTACTTCAAAATTTAAAGTGAAAATTCTGTCTGAACTGTGAAATGCATATGTTAACTTGTTTATTTAGAACAAAATGCTTTCAAACTGTAACAGAACAATAGACCAAGAACAACTCTAATCTGGTCAATATGACTTTGCCTTTACAGTAACACATTTTTGAGTGACACTTTACAGAAGATTGGACTACAAGTAGCAGTGTGAGATATTTGTAGGACCCTAGCTATTGTATTTGGGCAACTTACTACTTTTTGGCTACTTTAAAAATAATTTGGACTACATTTCAAGAATTCTGCTTTATTTTCTATGAAACCTATCTGGCAACCTGTGAGGTTCTCATCAGATATGTGCTGTTTACCTGCAGTTTATTTACATCATTATTAATTAACTAAAATGGCATTCTGTATATGTAACCATATTCTGCTTGCTTAATAATTTACATCAGTTAAATGATATATTGTACAGAAATATGTAAATCTCAGTTAATTTGAAGTTGCAATTATTTTGCCCCTTGAATTTTGAACTAACGAGAATTTCCTATAATAATATATGCAAATTTTATTCCTGTATATTAATTTATTAGATATTTAATTTATATTCTAATTTTAAATAAAAAATTTTTCTTAAATCTTACTGTTGTCTTTGGATGATAAACTTTGTCTAGCTTGATCAATATCAACTAATTGTTGAAAATATATTAATTGATTGTAGAGTTGAGAATCTGAATACTAAAAACAAAAAGGAAAAAAATCTTTAAAATAATAAAATAATTTATTTTAAAATAATACAATGTAATTAAAAAAAAATCCTTACTTCTAAAGTAAGACATGCATCTTTACATGACTGACAGAGTGGACCTTGTTTAGTAAAATAAAGTGGAAGTTTTCTAGTCCTTTTTGCACACATAGGATCTTCACATATTAACCATTTCTAGAAAATATATCATAAAATATTAAATTTTCAATAACATAAAAATAACAAATTAAATTTTTTTAATTTGTTATTTTTATAATAAGACACACACTTAGGATTCTCAAAAAATGAATAGTTTAATGCATTATCAATACTTTTAATTTGATTTAATATTTCTTTCATAATTATTTAGTCTATATATAACATTATGAGAAGTTTGTAAGTAATTTTTAAACTTTGATAATGATTTAATTTAATAATAAATAAATAAATAAAACATAAAAAATTTTGAATGAAGTTACCTGATAGTATTTTTGTACATATTGACGCATGATTTTAACAAGTTGATTACGAAATGTATTAGTATAATCACTTAAAAATATTCCACAATTAGGACACTGTGGAAGTTCATATTTCAGTTTTAAAGCCTGCAGAAAAACAATTAAAATATTAAAAGTTAATTTATTAAATTATTCAATAAACATTGTATTCTATATAGATAACACTGAAAACAAACTTTTGCTTATGGTCATCTAAAGATATTATATTACATAATAAGGTTTATACTTCCAATATTATTTGTTTATTAGCTACATTAACTAGTGAATTACTACAAGAATGTTTTAAATTATTTAAGAAAATTTAAATTTTATTACACTTACATTTATAACAAAATCATTTTCAATTTGAAATTCTTTGTGGCATTCTTCATTTGGACACAGAAATGAAAGTTTTTCACAATTTTTAAACTTGTCTTCAGCAGATTGAATAAAACTACCTACTAACTGATCATCATCTTCATGTTGTTGAACTGTTTGCCTGTATGCACTTGGATCAAGGCCTTATTCATTCATTTTGTAAAAAATGCATCAATGAATATTTTTGAATAATAAATAAAAAGTTTATAAATAAAATTTCTGATAAAAGAAATTAGTATTTAACTTTAAAAACAATAATATAATAATTTCCTAATGTTAAGTAATGCAAAATATAAATTTCAATAATCCTTTCAATGTAAATTCTTATTTTGACTATATTACTTTATCATTTAACTGGGTTGATGATTTGAAAAAAATTACAGACCTATAAATTCTCACTGTCATACATTTGTCCTTCCTTAATCTCAAGAATGGAGTTAGATAGATGAAAGTCAAAACCAGATATAAAAAGTTCAGGGGCAGAAGGCCCTGATTATCTATATATGAACTTCCATTTTGGATCAGAAGTCACATTATTTCAATTCAAAAATTTTTTCCTGAACAGAGTTAGATACATGACTGGCATGACTTCGTTATTAACAGGAAAAGTATGATGTACAGGAGCAAGACAGTATTAAACTTAAGTGCATTATGATGAAAAATTGCAGGCCATCATTGTGATAATGTCACAATAAATAATTGCTCATTACAGTGGAACCCTGGTTAATGACCAAATTGGTTAACAAACTTTTATTTTGCAAAAATTTTGTCTCGGATAACGAACAAAATTCAGATTATGAACTTAATGGCTTTTTGTGTCAAATTTGTAAGCTTGCTTTCACAAAACTTTCTGAACCACTTATGGCACGTGGAATCATCAATGGCTCCCTCACCATACACAGAACATATCTTTTTTTTGTATCTGCGAAGCATTCTTGCCTTTTTGGAATAAAAAAGCATAATATGTCGAAAATGCTCCTTATTTTCTGCCATTTGTAATGCTTAACAAAATTTTAAAAACACAACTAAGTAACACAACTTTATTCTCAAATACTAGCTGAGATCCCTTTTGTCAAACAACATCGAAATTTTACACATGTGAAGGAAATAACACTTCAGTGTTGCGTTTTTAGCCAGCTGGTGCTAAAAACGGGACAAACTTTTGCATCAACCTAATAGTTTCCAGTCATTCTGAAACCTCACAAATTTCAGTTGCTCTTAGGCATACGCGAGGTAAGCATTGCTTTTTCGAGTGTGCTAAACTTTGTTTTTTAGTTTTGTTATTTATACTATATATTTAATCAATATGGCACCAAAGAAAGAGAAAAGTGACAGTGGAAATAGAAAACGTTTTAGTGTAGCATTAAAGAAAGAAATTATTGAAAAATATGAGAATGGCATTCGTGTTTCTGACATTGCTAAAGAATATAATGTGGCAAAATCGACTATCTCTACAATTATTAAAAACAAAAAAGCATTTAAGGCTGCCAAAGTGGCTAAAGGAGTGAATGTGATATCGAAACAAAGATCTAGTTTTAGATGAAGTTGAAAAACTGTTGCTAATATGGATCAATGAAAAGCAACTTGCTGGAGACAGTGTTAGTGAAGCTATAATTTGTGAAAAGGCTAAAAATTTATATGACGACTTGTTGACCCAGACACCCAGTACAAGTGCAGACAGGCAAGACTTTAAAGCGAGCCGAGGGTGGTTTGATAGGATTTGTTGAAGAACTGGCATTCACAGCATCATAAGACACGGGGAGGCTTCAAGTTCAGATGAAAAAGCAACAAAAGCATTTGTAGATGAATTCACAGAGTTTGCAAAAAGTGAAGGATATGTCTGGAATCAAGTGTTTAATTGTGATGAGACCGGTCTTTTTTGGAAAAGAATGCCTAGATGAACGTACATAACCCAAGAAGAGAAAGCGCTTCCCAGGCACAAGCCATTGAAGGACAGATTCACTCTTTTATTTTGCGCTAATGCAAGTGGTGACCTCAAAATCAAGCCACTTTTAGTCTACAACGCTGAAAATCCCCATGTCTTTAAGAGCAAAAATGTGATAAAGTCCAAACTGCCTGTACAATGGAAGGCAAATAGTAAGGCATGGGTAACTCGGACTTTATTCATGGATTGGCTCACAGAAGTGTTTGCTCCTACTGTTAAAAATTANATCCCCATGTCTTTAAGAGCAAAAATGTGATAAAGTCCAAACTGCCTGTACAATGGAAGGCAAATAGTAAGGCATGGGTAACTCGGACTTTATTCATGGATTGGCTCACAGAAGTGTTTGCTCCTACTGTTAAAAATTATTTTCAGGAAATGGTCTTCCTTTTAGATGTCTTCTCTTAACGGATAATACTCCAGCACATCCACCAAATTTGAAGGAGGACTTGGATAGTGAACATGACTTCATCAAGGTCAAATTCCTTCCACCCAACACAACTCCATTACTGCAACCAACAGATCAGCAAGTGATTTCCAATTTTAAAAAGCTGTATACCAAGGCACTGTTTACCATGTGTTTTCAGGTTACCAATGATACCGACTTAACTCTTAGAGCTTTTTGGAAGGAACATTTTAACATCCTGGATTGTATCAACCTTATTGACAAAGCCTGGAGTGAGGTCTCTCACCACACTTTGCAATTGGCCTGGGGGAAACTTTGGCCAACTTGTGTCCCAGAGCAAAACTTTCAGGAATTTGAAGAAGAGAGCTCTCCTGATGTAGTGCATGAAATCGTGTCCATTGGCAAGAGTTTGAGAGTAGAGGTAGATGATGCAGTCATGGAGGAGTTGCTGAAAGACCATCAAAATGAACTAACGACAGAAGAGCTGGTTGCCATGCAGGAAGAACAGATGAAAGTCTTACAAGAAGAGCATTCGTCAGAGGAAGAGGCTAGGGAAGAAATCACCAGTACTAAGATCAAGGAAATTTGCAGAAAATGGAATGATGTGCAGGAATTTATCGAGAAGCACCATCCTAACAAAGTTGTGGCTAATAGGGCCATTAATTTAATGAACGACACTGTGCTAACGCATTTTAGAAAAATTTTGATTAAGAGAGTAAGACAATCAACTTTACACCACTTTCTTGTTCCTTATCAAAAGAGACCTCGACTCGAAGAAACTCCCCATGCAGTGCTATCCGATATTTTTATGGAGGGGGATTCCTCTTCCAAGCATTAAGCTCCGTAGAAACAAAGGTATGTACAGTGCTACTTTATTAAATAAAGTTTACATATTTGTTGCTGTAATGATAGATACTACGTTTTCTTATATTTTCATCAAAGAAAACCCATTTTACAAATAAAATTACAAAAATACTGATGGCTAGAATGGATTAATTGTATTTGCATTAATTTCTATGGGAAAAATTGCTTTGGTTAACGAACGGACTCGTGGAACGGATTACATTCATTAACCGGGGTTCCATTGTATAATAATTTTAATGATTTATGTAATTAATAACTGCATATGCCTGGCATTGCTCAGACTTTGAGGAAGTGAGAGATTGGTAAGTTTGAGTTGGGAGAGGGTGATGAAAACAATAGTCTTAGTAAGTAAAATGTATATTTATTGACCTCAGTATTTACAATAATGAAACTGCAAAATACAAAAAAATTGTTTGGGCTACAGTTAATAGGAAATGAATCCAGAAACATTCATCTAGTAGACTTAACATTGTATATTTGCCACTTTGCCAAACCTGAACCATTGTAGCACCTTTCTCAAATCTCTCTTCAGCACTAACATCTATTGGACAAGACCCTTAATTTGATAGCTTAACCTTATTCTTAGCCCAAACCATTCATTCAAACTAAGTTGGACAAACTGGAACCCTTTTCCAATTAATATATAATGTTGCTTATTCACTCCATAAAAAAAATAAGTTAAATGGAATCAAAACTCTTAAAAACAAATTTAAGTAATAAAGCAAAGAAATATATAACAAAAGAAAACAAAAACTGTTATAAAAGATAAAAATTATTACAGATAAAAAACCCATTTAATATTAAAATAATTTTCTACGTTAAGCTATTATAATAAAATGAATTTATGTATAATTTTTTGATATTTAGTTGACTGAGGACGGGCAGTGCCCAAAACGTGTTATCGTACTTGTAACCGTATCAACTAAATAAAGATGGAATACCACCAAGTGTTGAAATAGAAACACACCTTGTGTTAGTGAATCAAAGTTAAAACTTCTAAAACACTAATTTTTCAATGTTGTTATAGTAAATTTAGCCAAAATGTCTTTTATTTTTATTCTTCACTAAACAGATAACAATGAATTACTTTATCAGATAATAAACGTTTGATTAAGCAAATTGAAAAATTAAAAATCATAATATTGTTGAATTTAAATGATATTTCTAAATATGTATTCTAAATTACTGTTCTCAAATAATAATTAATTCCTATTTTTTAAGATCTCCTTTACAATCTGAAATTGAAGGTTCTGATTGATTAGAATTATATCTACTAGGAACTATTTTAGATTTAAAATTCCTTTGTACAAATCTAATATTAGAGAGGTTGAGGCAGACGTTTTAAACGTGTAAACGTGTAGGTCGGACGTTCAGCACCGCTTTCCCGTAAGCCTAAAAGTTTGACAATGGTGTTTGGATAGTCGGTGGAATCATGCTCGACATTCCAAACACCATCGTCAAACTTCTAGGCTTACGGGAAAGAGGCACTGAACGTCCGTCCTACACGTTTACACGTTTAAAACGTCTGCCTCAACCTCTCTATTACTCAAAATATATCTGTTCAAAAGTTGGCATCACTTGAAATGATAATTTATTTAGTTCTAAGTGACAGTTTCAGCAGTTATTATTCAAATTGTTTAATACTGAACATTAAGATTAATGTAGAAATTGTGTTTTACATTTTTCAATTTTTGTTTTATATTTTTTCCTTAATTGATCACCCCATGTTATGTGGAAGAGTGATCTTTAATGTTTTAATTTTTATTATGTTACATTCCTTTGTATGTTATAAACAGATCTTTTATTAGGGCTTCCTGTAGGTCAAATTTAGTAAATAAATATTAAATAAATAAATTTTAATTACAGACAATATCATTAAGAGAATAACTGCCACCCCTAGTACAACAATAACAAAAATAAAAACATTTGATTAAAAAATAAAGTAGAAAAGTAAAATTAAGTAATGTGAAGTATTTTTTAATAATAGGATTTATGTATGTATATGGTATTCTAGGTATAACATGTTCTCAATACTGTTGACAAATTTATAAAAATGGTAAAAAAAGGATTTAATGTGATATTAAGACAACCAAAAAAAACAAAGAAAAGAAATTTTCTAGTTTTTACAGATGAAATTTTTAAGTTAATGTAATATGAAGAAAGCAATCCATTAAAGTATATGTATACAATTGATCAAAATAGGTTACACATTTAATTATGATCTACCTACTCAATTCAACAGAAAAGTATCTTTACTTTGCAACTTTTTCAATACTTTAAGTATTGTAATTTATTTTCATATTCTATAATTATTTGTAAGATTCACTATGAGATAAAATAAAATTCCCTTGTCTTTATTCTGTGAGCCATACGTATTTTGTTATAAGCAAACTTGAAAAAGTTTATGATTAATGATTTTATCTTGTAATTTTTTAATTAATGCAAATTATTACATTAAATTTAAGTAAATTATATTTTGTTTTAAATGCACAAATGAAAAACTTAATATATTTAGTAGTAAATAAAAAAAATACACAAAAGAATATCTACTTGAAGTGAAAAACTGATCTAATTATTTATGAATTTAACCAGTCAAAACTGTTTAAATCTAGCAATTGTTTTAGCCATATATATCAGCTTATAAAATGCAGTGATAAAGAAAACATTAATTTTGGAATGGTAAATTTAAGAAAAACTTTTAAAATGTTTTATTGTTAATACAATGGACCTATATCTCTAATTTCCAATATTTACTACACAAATTTCTTTTAAATCAGACAATTTATGTGAAATTTTAAAGTTTCATTTTATCAGCTCCATGTAATAAAACTTTCTGCTTCCTCTATTGACAAATTTTATTCATAGGCAGTGGTCCAAATTTTGTTCTGCTTCTCTGTTCTCATATTCCTTAGTGTACTACAGTACTTTTAGCTTAAATCCAATAGTCTAATTTTGTCTTCTTGTCTTCTATTAACTACATTTTGGCACTTAGTGACTTCTTGGCTTTATAAATATGCTTTATTGCCACTTTCACCTTCTAAGTGTGTGGTATTTTTAAAGTATTTATAAAAAAGCCAACAAATACAGTAATTACTACTGTATTTGTAATTACTACAGTAATTACTACTGTATTTGTTGGCTTTGGTATATGCAGACAGAGATATCAAAATTTTTATTGTATATCTTCATGAATTATATAAAAAAACTTAAATTAACAATAATTAAATTTTACCCAAAAAACTTGCTATGGTAGCTGCATCAGTTCCTTCAATAGGATTACAAAGCCTGGAAACTACAGGATGTATCTGATGAGCTAAATAATAATGTGTATCTAGAAAAAATTTAATTTTATTAATACTTTCTTAAAAACATGGATTATTATAAGTTAAAAATTATATTAAATTATATAAAAATATAATAAAATAGCCATTAATTAATTAATTAATAAAATACAATTTTTATACAAAATTTTAAAATCTGTAATACAGTTATTTGGTAAATCTACTATATAAGTTCTTTATTCGTAATTTTTTATTAGTTTTGTTTTTTTGGATATTTATTCAAATTTAATATAAAATTACTGTCTAAATTTAGACATAAGTATCCATTTAATTAATTTAATAAAATCTTATTCATCATAAATAGTAAGCAATTCAAAAAGAAGTCTTTTTATCTTAATGTATAAAAATAAAACTTTTTGCAATCTTTTTCCAAAAAAATTAATGCTATTGGTAAAAATGTATTGTAACATACAATTTATTTAAAAACTTCACACTGTTATAATATTTTATTGTGCTCTAACACTTAATTATCCATAACCCAAAGATCTTTCTTTTGGTAATTTCTCATCCCATATGTTAGGTAGTAAATTTTTCATATGCTGATTTCCCCTATTCTAAAAATTTATTTATTTATAATTCTTATTTGTTTTAATGAGTTTTTATTTTTATCTGTTTTACATCATGTTTGGGATTTTACTTTTCTTGACCCCATACACTGCATTGCAGTTTTTGTAATTATAAATAAAAAAAATTAAATGAACTAGTTTATACTTAAAAATTACAAACTGCAGAATACCAATTTTAAGATGTTCACTATTTTTCAGTTCATTTGGATGATAACATCTTTGTGTTGCTGGAAGATTGCTGCCATCCTATTTATTTAAAATCAGTTTATTAAATTAATTAACTTAAAATTTCATTTTATTTCATTACTAGACAGTTTTTAAGCATTACCTCACATATAACATATGGAACAACATCTCCTTGTTTTAACTTTTTACCAGCTTTTGAATTTAAGCGCAATGCCACTTGTACATGAGAGAGACTTTTTTTGTCTGGATAATTTTCAGGATTTTTTGTCAATTGCTGAAAATGAATAATATTGGTAAATTTTATTTTATAAAAAATATTATATACAATTTATCATAGTAAATTGAAAATTACTCTGAAATTAATTTGGCAATATAGTTATATATAGCAGTAATGCAAACTGGTTTTATAAACTGAACCAGTGAACCACTGTAATTAGCACAAAACAAAACCAAAATTGTATTCAAACAACTTGGTTTTGATTTGATTTATATTTTACGAAATGGGTATTTAACATTTGCAGGTCATTTCTATCTTGTAAGTTGGTTTTAGCAGTCTTACTCATTGTGAAGCAAGTTGGAAAGTCTGCATGTATCATAGCTACTCAATTGTCAAATTGCATATTGCATTCAATAAATTGTAATTACTGTATCAGCAATCATTAAAAGGCTTTTTTTAATATAAAAATTAATTTTATTGGATGGACATGATAATATCAAGAACAATTTACTTTATGATATTTTGTTAATTAATTTAATTCCTTTGTAACTTTAATTAAATACCTTAATAAAATAAAAATATACCTTTCATAAAATAATACCTATGCAATAAATAAATAACAACAGACTTCATTGTATATCATATAAATTAATAGTTTAAAATATACATATAAATATGTATATTTTAAACTAGCTGTTACCCGCAATGTTACCTGCAAGGGTTTTGCAAGCAAACCCCATTTATATTCAGTATTTCAATAACCATAGTAATTGTTATATAACACCTACTGCTGAGAATAATGAGAATTGCTGAGAATCAAAAAACTGTTTTCAATTTGATCAATTTTCTGGAACGTTTACAATCGTTCTATATTTGAACCAATATGCAATAACAAATTCAAATTTAAAATGGTTCAAACATTTGGTTAAAAAATCAAAATATATAAAAATATTTATAACAATGTCTGAAATGTTATCAATTTAATACACTTAAGAACTCAATGAAGACTAAACATAGTTAAAAACAAAAAATCACATCTAAAATAGTACAGTAGAAGCCATTCTTCAGGTAAAGCCTTAATCCTTTCCCTCTCCCCTGCAGAGGAATTTTGAAAAATCCCTTCTTAGTGTGCGTTTTCATGATGTACCTTAACTGTGTACAAAATTTCACCTCTTTAGGTTCAGTGGTTTGCTCTAAGCAATGATGAATCAATCACTCACCCAGTCAGTCAGTCAGGACAAGTAATTTATATATTTAGATGTATGAATGAAACCTAAACCATTATCAAAATTTTTTTGTTTTACATTTCTGATGCACAGTTAAATAAATATTGAACAAAATGATTTATGTAAAGAAATTTTGATTCAATAATAAAATAAAAATAATAATTCATGGTTCCCACTTCTTTTCTCCCTTAAAAATTAAGTATTTTTAAAGGACTTTAAATAATCACAGAAAAAATTTTTAAGCATTTGCATTTTCAAAGTCTTTAATAAACCAATATAATCAAAGAATTGAATACAATGAGTCTTTTTGACCATTTAAGATTAGATATAAATCACACTGAACAATTAATTATGCTTAGCATTTTATATTACAATTATGGAAGAAATAAATATAAATGAAGCTTGTAACTGGCCTGTACTTAACAAATAAGTAAAAGAGCATTCTATCAATATAAAATTTCATTTTTATTATCAGTTTTGTAATTAATTTATTCACTATTTATGGAAAAAGTTTTTTTCAACAAAAGATGTTTATTATTATTAATTAAAAATATTTTTACTGTTAATAGTTAATATCTAAATCTAAATCAATTTAACATTTTCTTCTATAACAAAACAGACAGTCCTTATGTAAGTGGTTCTTATACAAGTGAAAGCAAAATGTTTACACCTTAAGCTCACAAGAAGAGGTCCATCTGATGAAAACATAGTTGGCTGAGATTTTTCACAAGACAGATCATGTTGAAAGATGACTGCATGCCTTTAAAGTAAGTGATTCTGGCCATCTCTTCAAAAGAAAATGTCATTAGAATTTTACAAAGTAAGATAATAAATAATTCAGAAAAGTAAGATTAAAATTAAAATTTTTTGTCTTAAAGTTTTTTAATAATAAAAATTGAAGAGAAAAAAAAAAAAGTAAAAACTTATTACAAGACAATCCACAATTCATTAGTTTATTATTTATGGCCATTTCTACTATTCTATCTAATTCTACAAATAAAAATTCAAATTTCTGCTATTTAAACTAAGGAATTTCATAAAATTCAAATGCATTTTCTCACAAAAAGTTGAATGAATATTGAAAGATATTCACAAGATATTTGCTATGTCTTATGAATGAACATCTTTCAATATCTATGAACATAAGATTTTATCTTTCAATATGACCTATTTTGTAGAACTTCAGCAAAATCTGTTTCTCATCAAGTGTAACCTCACCTGTCAAAATAAATTTAAAAAGTAAAATAAAATTACTGCAAACTCCCATATATTATACTGTATATAATTTCATAAAAAATTCTAGAATTTGTTTTGCTGTAATTTTTGAATAACAATCAAATTTTATGTAATATCATATTTAAACTGAAAAATCAGTAAATATTTATGTAGGGTCTTTCTTCACAGTTTTATGGTATTATAGGATAAATTTAATTATTTTTATAATANAATCAAAATTAATCAAATTAATTTATGAATAGAATATTTCTACATACAACACATATCATTGATGAATTGTTTACAAAAGAAATGTATTCTGACAATTCTTTTTTTGGATTCATTCAAATTAACAACTCATTAATAAATCACCCGAGCTCTAAGAGCTTCAGAGGTTATGACTAAAAGCTATTCTGTTATCTGGTTTATGTTGTCTTGGTCATGATTTTCATAAAGAAATATTTTTTCATAATTATTTTTAAAACATCAATACAAAAATTAAGTACTTTTAAAGATTTTTTGTTCATTTTTGAAAAAATAAGTACTTTTAAGCACCACAAAAACATTAAGCACTTTTTGAGGCTTTTAAGGATTTGCAAAACTGTAAAAACCTTATAATCATGATATATAAACAAAGTGAACTTCATATAAAAAAATATTATTAAAGTTAATTCTAATTTTCATAATAAATTATGTTTATTAGTAACAATATATTATGCAATATTTTTTACTTTTTACAACTGTTATAAAATTAAAGCTATTAACAGTTACCTTAGTAATTATAAAGTCTGACTGAGGTATCTGGTTTTCTTTCATAAGGCACTGTAACTTCATTAGATGTGAATGAATTTTTTCAACAATATCTTCTCGTGGCTTGCCTGATAAAATTTCATCAACAACAGTTCTATATGAAATAAATATTTATAATCAATAAGTAAATAATTATAATATAGTCAAATTATAGTAAGTATTAAGCAAATTTATACAAAATATCTTGAAAATAGCGAGCCTGACAATCATATTACTGAGCTGTTAATTTTCTGCTTAAATATACAAATTTTCAGTGTTTCAAACTATTAATTAACTATTGTACTGTAGTTATTTAACAATTACATTCATTCATTTGTTAGTTGGTCATTTTCTCAACATAATTCATGTAATCCAACATAAATTCAAAGTTTGAACAAAAAATTTATAAAAATTATATTATGCTATAAAAAATAAATCAAAAAACTTTTAGTTTGTGCATAACAAAAAATAGAATGTACTATTTCTTTTTATGGAGGGGGATTCCTCTTCCAAGCATTAAGCTCCGTAGAAACAAAGGTATGTACAGTGCTACTTTATTAAATAAAGTTTACATATTTGTTGCTGTAATGATAGATACTACGTTTTCTTATATTTTCATCAAAGAAAACCCATTNAACTTCATTAGATGTGAATGAATTTTTTCAACAATATCTTCTCGTGGCTTGCCTGATAAAATTTCATCAACAACAGTTCTATATGAAATAAATATTTATAATCAATAAGTAAATAATTATAATATAGTCAAATTATAGTAAGTATTAAGCAAATTTATACAAAATATCTTGAAAATAGCGAGCCTGACAATCATATTACTGAGCTGTTAATTTTCTGCTTAAATATACAAATTTTCAGTGTTTCAAACTATTAATTAACTATTGTACTGTAGTTATTTAACAATTACATTCATTCATTTGTTAGTTGGTCATTTTCTCAACATAATTCATGTAATCCAACATAAATTCAAAGTTTGAACAAAAAATTTATAAAAATTATATTATGCTATAAAAAATAAATCAAAAAACTTTTAGTTTGTGCATAACAAAAAATAGAATGTACTATTTCAAAACTTGTATGTAATATAACACAAATAGATTTATAAAAGAAAGGGATATTTAAAATCTAAGATAGATCTTTAAACTTAAAAAAAATTAATAAAATATTATTAAAGTATTTTTTCAACAACCTGTTAGTCCTGTTTTGCCAAACTTCTAACAACTGCAGTATATTATAACAGCCTTTTTTTTATACAAAATATTACACCAATGTTTTAAAAGACAACAAAATAAAATAATATGTATGTAGAAAATATTATAACAATGCATTAACTCTTAAGCTCTGAAAATTTCTTGTTTAATATGTTTTATTTATTCCAATAAACATGCAAAAACAAAAATTGCAATGAAAGGGACAAAATCATAAAATTTGAGGTGAAAGCATTATTCTACAGGAAAAAGTGGCAAATAGTGACTTCTGATTAAAAAGCCAACTAGTGTAAGTGATCACTATTAAAAATAGTGACTAAAGGAGACATAAGCAACTTAGTAGGAGACTTGATCTATCTGACATAGAAAATTCATTATTTTTTCAATAAAAGCATTTGAATTTCAAACTTTCATAGATTACTATCAGTAATACTATATAAATTCTAGAAATATTAAACTAGAACAATGAATCAAAATTTTCTATTATTAGTTATTTCTGTACATAGAAATGAATTGTAATTTACATTTGATTCTATTTATGAATACAGATTTACCATTATTATATTATCTAATAATAATAATACAAATACAGTATTTAAAATCTGTAAATTCATTAAAGTTGTAGTTAATGATGAAATTAATAAAATTTAAAAATGTATTTAACCAAAATACAGTTTAATAAAGTTTCTATATAAATTTAAAAATAAAGAAAATAAATAAAAATTTATTTTCTTTATTTTCAATAAATACAAAATCTAAAAATAATGAAGAACTAAAATGAAATAAATAAAAGATTAAAAATTTTAGAACTGTGGAATCTATAGACTTGTCTTAAAGAATTTAGAAATTGAAAATAATCTAATAAAAAATAAAATGACTGCACATACTCTCCAGTTTTCTTGGCAAGCTCAGACCAATCTCTTCTTACTATATCTAAACCCTTCAACTCTTTGTTAGTAATAGGTTTTCCATCAGGTGTAATAGAAACTGCTAAAGCTGCATATTTTTTCTTCTTTAAAAGTAGCATTGATTTAAATATTCCATCAATATCTATTTCTAACTGATGATACAACTTGTTTACTTCTGACTTTATCTACAATGAATAAAAATATAAGTAAATTCTTAACAACAATGTAAAGTGATCAAGAACATACTAACTAATATCATACCATCATTTCTCTGTTTTAAAATAAATAGGTTTAATGTAAAAAATTAACAATTCTGTAACTCAAAATATTTTTGAACATTTTTGTCTAATATATTTAAATATATTAAAAATAAGCAAAATAACAAATTAAAGTGATAAAACATAATCAACCAAATTCACTGGTTAGTAGACATTGCAATAAACATAAGTGCGAAATAAATAAAAATAATTAAAAAAATAAAAGAATACTATTAAAAGAAAACTATATGAGCATCTCACAATAATAAAAGAAAAAGAAAATAATATAATTCATTATGAATGGCAATGATAAATTAGGAAGAGATAACTGGTAACATGATTATCTTAATATTAGCAAATGAATATGTCCATATTCAAATAAGTTACAATCAATAGACCTTAACTAAGAAGAAATTAATTTACATGATAAACATTTGAACCAAAAGAGAGAGATTAATTAATATAATTATAATAATTATGATAAAATAATAATAATAATAGCAATAATACTCTTCCGTGGTCACCATCTGGTCATGGTGGGAGAGCCCAGTAATTTTTCTGATCCATAGGACAATGCAGGCTGAAGCACAAGCTCCTGGTAGGGACACCCATGCCAGTAAAGTCTACGGGGAGAAATGAAGCTAAGAGTGACCTCACCCACATTCTGTGAAGATAATTATCATGGTGGTAACCAGATCAAAGTGTGATACTGGCTCAGACGTCGCACAGGTTAACAAGGTCCGCATTTGTGGGCTAGGCAGAGGCTCACGTTCGAAAAATAGGCCACAGTGTCCCTTGGTTATCGGTGGCGAAAGCAGCATCGGCCCAAGCATGGCTACTGCAATGCCCTCAACAGATGTGAAGAATCAACCTAGCCTTGGTGTTTCTGTGGCAATGCATCCACAGACCACAAAGGCTGGAAAACCACGCCAACAGATGAAATGGACATCAGATATGAACGAGTTTATCATCCATACTTACTATGCAATCACAAAACTCGAAACAAACATGATAGCATACAGACAACTCCTACACCATAGATTCACACAACAATATCCTCACCTCACTGTCACCGAACAAAGGG